TCCTTAGGAAGGTGTGCTAAATACTGATTAATGTAACATAAAAATACTATACATATTTATATATTTTGCTATTGTATTATGGAGTGACACTTTCATAAACTTTTCTATACCCCTCTGATTATATAATGGTAAATATTACAATATCATAGCACAACAACAGTGATCAGCAATAATGATAAGCCTAATACTCACAATAAAAATAATAAGGTCATATAGATCCTAACACAGTCTCGGAGGTAAGAAGTCCTTCACCTGAAATGTTTGTCTTTTCATCCTGAAAAATGAGGCAAATGTTGGATCACAATAATTAGGAACCACAGTTTGCACAAATCCCTTCACTCTATTTGGATGTTCTCTTTTATTCTGGACGGCAAGGGCAGTGACTGTAACATTGAGCGTATTTTGCAGTATTAAACACGTATTACCGATTTCATCAGGCTCCGAAAATTCTTCAGAAAGAACACATAGAATGGCCTTCTCAGCTGCCATAGTTGCAACTCTTGCGTCATCAGAACAGGGTGTTCAATGCACCACCGTTTCGTTTAAAACACGTTTTGCACTGTTTTGTCGGGGCTGAACGCAGCCCTGGTCAGTTTTCGATAGGTCAACGATTTCGGCACAACACTGGCTTAGTCGCGGTGAAAGTGATAAGTAAACGATGCACAGTGCTTAAAGCCATGTTATAATTAAATGTTTACGGCCACAAGTAGCTGTTAGAAAACATATAGATTGATGATTTTCTAGAAGCAAGGATAAAATAACATTTTGTGTATCCATCCTAACAAAACGATAGCTGAAATGTGGTACTTTAGCCTATTCACTAAAATAAGTTTAATCTTACCATATCCAAAAACTCGCTCACTCTGCTGTTATTTAATAGATTAAATGCACTAGAATTGTATTGAATAGTACGTGGAGACACGTTTTTAATTCAAATATTAATATTAATCAAAGATTTATTCACTTTTAATGCGCCTTATTTCGAAATGTACAGAAATACGTGCTTTCATATGTCGTTTAGTTATGATTATTTCATTTATTCACTATAGCCTACTATTTATTACTAGTGTCTCATTTCAGTTTTAGTTTGGCTCTAGTTTTGTATTTATTCCAGTTTATATGAAAAGGTTCATGTAGCGTGGATTAAAATGCATATACAGACTAAATCCTTTTCACTGAACGTGTTAAAAATACGTTTGAAAAGTTGTCGGGAGCATGGTGGTGGTGACGTTGAAGGCGAGCGACCGTGGTTCGTTTATAGCCTAAGTTTAGCTTTTAAGTTCTGGCGCTTTTATTTTGGCTTTAAAATTCATAAAATTAGATTATGTTGTGAAGATTATCTTAATGGACAAAACGTGTAAGTTTCATGAACTATGATTGAACACAGAGCTTATTTTTTGCGATAATCCAAAAGCCTATGGAAAAATCCTATTGGCTTTTTGTCGAGGGAACCAGTGCGATGCTAACAGCCGATCCGCATACAAAGTGACGTCATAGCTCCCCCACTCTATTTTCAACCCAACGTCCTTACCCAGCAGGCTCAACCCAGCATTTTTCTCTCCCATTAGGTCATAGATCTCTCTTATCATCACTCTGGCCTCTCCCCTCATTGTGAATGAACAGTCGAGTATAAAAGCTTTGGTGCACCTCCTCACTTGAACTGGCAAAGCTCCTGAAGTCCAGAGCTCCTGAGCTCATCGCACAACCATGCCTGTGGATTTCACTGGAAAATGGGAGCTGGAGTCGAGCGAAAACCTTGAAAATTACCTTAAAGCATTGGGTAAGCCTGATCAGTTGTCTGTTACCATAGGTCAACAGAGTAGAAACAAGATAAATCTGTGCCATTTCCTAATTCTGATTATGCAGTTTTATTATAATATTTGACATAATTGAAAAATATGATATAGTTTATATCATGGAAATGACCATGCCAAGTTAAAAAATATTTACTCTCATAGACATTGACTTTGCCATCCGCAAGATTGCAGTCCACCTCACTCCAACGAACCTTTATCCAGGATGGGGACAACTTTGTGATTAAGACACAGAGCGCCTTCAAGAGCTATGAGCTGAGCTTCACTATTGGAGTTGAAAAGGAAGAATTGACTAAGGGATTTGACAAAAGGATGCTAAAGGTGAACTATTTATATTTAATATTTGTGATCCTCCTCTAATGACATAATGCTATTTAACCTGTTTGGCCTGTTGGCCATGATCTCAGTAAGTTTGTTCAGTAATGAACCTACAGTAAAACAAATAGAGCACAGGCTTAAACTTTTGTCCAGAGGGACAAAATGCATTGAAGGTCTTCCCTTTTTTTTTTTTTTTTTTTTTTTTTTTTTTTTTTTTTTTTGAGGGCATCTGAATTTATTTTATATAAACAGTGCTATCTGTCAGTGATAGAGTAAAATCTCCTCAATGAAAATGTGTCTTTTTATATAATGATCAGTAGGCTATATAATGATAAAAAAACTATTTATTAAATAAATAGTAAACATATAAAAAGAAATTGTAAAATTTGTTTGTTTTGATTAAAATCATGTAAAAACAGGCCAGTTCTTGAGGTATATATACAGGTGCATCTCAATCAATTAGAATGTCATGGAAAAGTTCATTTATTTCAGTAATTCAACTCAAATTGTGAAACTCTTAAATAAGTTCAATGCACACAGACTGAAGTAAAGTCTTTGGTTCTTTTAATTGTGATGATTTTGGCTCACATTTAACAAAAACCCACCAATTCACTATCTCAACAATTGATGCCTTGACCCCAGCCTCAGTCCATTCCTTGTGAAGTTCAAGTCTATCAAAATCAAGCTGTGTATTAACCTGTCTAAATAAAGACAATGAGATGTTATGGCTCATAATTTCTTGTGAATGCAACTTAGTTACATTTTTTTATTTGTTGTTTTCTCTCTCCCTTGCTCACACAATCATAAAACCACACAAACATTTTTTATACAAATACATATTAATTGATGATATGCATGATCTAACACAACAATATAGAGCTATAAACATAATTAATTTCCCCATAATGAGCTAAAAACCATTTTACATACATTGGAGGACTATTAAAGATCCAATCAATACTATAACGGTCAAACATGAAGTGACACATATCTAAAGCAAACTATATTTGTTAATTAATTGATTTCATTAGGCTATAAATATGATCTAACTACTATTTTATATTTATAATTATAATTTATATAATTAATTTATATAATTTATATATTTATAATTATAATAATTAGATGGTGGAAGATACACATTTAGATACACTGTAGAAAACGAGCAATTGTGTAATTGTACTTTTGACTCAAGGCTATCCTTACTGAGATGTAGCCATTGTAACAGGTTCCTTGTATACTTGCCTTAATATTGATCATACGTCTAAACATTTATCTATTAACCTTTTAAGATCATACTGCGGTGAGACTTTTCAGGCACATTTCAGCACTGTATTTTTGGCGTGTTATTCATCATAATTACACTGAAGGTGGTACCATTTTTGGCTTTACAGGAAAGGGTAAGCTCAAACTCGCCGCAAGCGCCTAACGCCATGCAGCATCCCTCAAAAGCCGAGTTTAACCGAAATTACCCGAAACACTCCGAAGCCGTCCGAGTGTCACGTCAACGCTTCCGACGTCATGCGTACTGGCTTTGGAATAAGTTCCACGTCACATTTGCCTGCCGTGCACAAAACTGCAGGCGAAAAAACACATCAGACTCTTGGTGGATGATATAAAATACTACAGGTGAAGGAGACCAAAACCAGCAAACACAAACATGGTAAGTGTGGCGTCAGGATCTATATTATGGGCAATATTACAGCTGGTTTGCAGATTTTGTGTAAAAATACGCTTCGAGTAAAGTTAGCTCGCGCTGTTAGCCTCGAAGGCCTTTAGAATGGCCACATAGACAACTCTTTCATTCAGTCAGTCTGTGAATTATTTATTCATTTTCACTCACATTCTAGATCATACTTTCATTTAAAGCCATTTACCATTACATATATTATAAATTAACTGTTCAGTTATATGTTGTTATGAAGTGATATCGTGTGTTCTGGCTAACAGCTGATGATATGAATGTGACTTTAACATTAAGTACACATTAATAAATAAACAGAAATTATGAAATGTGCTGCTGTATATATTCTGTTCAGTAACATGGCAATTATCTGGAAGAGGTTTGATTTGTAGTGGTTTTATTTATTATTAAATGTACTGTAAAGGTTAGCTGCTGTTTATCAGACTTTTAATTGGGTGACAAATAGCAAATGTGTTGTGGGGAAAAAAACAGTCAAGGTTAAATAACAAAATGTCACAGTTTTCTGTTCTTGAAACAGCGAACATTTGTGCTTTTTGTATAGACTGTTGATGTTACTGCTGTATACTTGGTGCTGCTAACCAAAGAGATGCTGATTAATCAACTTGTAATTGTCTTGTCTTGTCTTCTAGCCTCTGAGGCTGGATATCAAGCGCAAACTCACGGCTCGATCTGACCGTGTCAAAAGTGTAGACCTTCATCCGTCCGAGCCATGGATGCTGGCCAGTCTGTACAACGGCAGTGTCTGTGTGTGGAACCATGAAACACAGGTGACTAGCAGACCTTATGTTTTTCACCGTTTGCAATATATTACCATCTGATCTTCACATTTTACATTAAGGATACAGCAGTGTGTGTTGCATGTGTGTCTAATATTGCTCTTTCATAGACTCTGGTTAAGACTTTTGAAGTCTGTGACCTTCCAGTAAGAGCTGCCAAGTTTGTTGCCAGGAAAAATTGGGTCATTACTGGTGCTGTAAGTATATATGTGAATAATAATAATATGCACTATTATATAATAGTTATCAATAGTGTTATATGTGTAATAATACATAAATATGGAACTTTTGATAAATTTTCTCCCTTTTTTGTAGGATGACATGCAAATTCGGGTTTTCAACTATAATACACTAGAGAGAGTACATATGTTTGAGGCCCATTCAGATTACATTCGCTGCATCGCTGTTCATCCCACCCAGCCCTACATCCTCACAAGCAGTGGTATGTACAGATTAAATTTACATTAAGTATTTATATTGCATATGTATATGCAGTATATGCATATATTAATATGTATAACATAGTATACTACCATTGGTTGGGTCAGTAAAGAAATTATTACTTTTATTCATCAAGAATGCATTCAATTGATCAAAGGTGACAGTAAAGACATTTATAATTTTACAAAAATTCTGTGTATCCAATAAATGCTGTTTTTTTTTCTTGAGCACCAAATCAGCGTATTAGAAACTGAAGTCTGGAGTAATGGTTACTGAAAATTCAGCTTTGCCATCACAGGAGTAATTTATTTATATATATATATATATATATATATATATTAAACTAGAAAAAGTTATTTTAAATTGTAATAATATTTCAACCTTGGTGAGCATAAGAGACTTATTGTAAAAACATAAAAAAATCGTACTAACCCCAAACATTTAAACTAGATATGCACCGATCGATCGGCCAGGGATCGGAATCGGACGATTTTCCTCATGATCGGTCCGGATCGGTCGGTCAGTCTCACTTCTTTCCAATTTCGAGCCGATCCGTTTTGTTACCAGCGGCACATGCATCCTGCTGCTGTCTGTCATGTTAAAAGAAAGACAAAGAAAATCACTTTCTGCTCTTAACTGAATACGTTTTAGAACTTTAATGGTAAGCATTAATCTGTATTTAATTTTTACAATGAAGATTACAGAAATTAATGTATCATAAAACACTGGATGTGTTATTTTATATTTGATTACTTTAATTTCTGTAGTATTTCTTACCTGAATAAAAACTTACTTAACCTGAAAAACTTAGTTTCATAGCTCTCTTTATTCTATTGCATCTATTTGTGCTGTTGTTTGCAGTTTTTTTTATTTGTTCTTATTTTATTACAGACTTTCTACTTTTTTTATGAAAATAAAACTTTGCGTTGAAGAAAAGTAGATTTTTGTTTGTATATGCTGTCAATTATAGTTCTTAGAAAGAAAATCGGATTTGGCAAAAATCGGTATCGGCAGATCACACTAACAAAAAAATCAGAAATCGGAATCGGCCAAGAAAATTGCAATCGGTGCATCTCTAATTTAAACTGTGGCGTATATGTACAAAATGTTTGTGTTTAACACTCATTGGATCTGTGTACGTTTAGATGACATGTTGATAAAGCTCTGGGACTGGGAAAAGAAATGGTCCTGCAGTCAGGTGTTTGAGGGCCACACACACTACGTCATGCAGATTGTCATCAACCCCAAAGACAACAACCAGTTTGCGAGTGCATCACTGGACAGAACCATAAAGGTATGACTGAACGCTCATGCGGCTGGAGCAAGTTTGAATCTGACTTGTTACATTTCGCCTATAATTTCATCCGTGTTTTGTTTCAGGTTTGGCAACTGGGCTCTTCCTCTCCTAACTTCACTTTGGAGGGCCATGATAAGGGGGTGAACTGTATTGATTATTACAGTGGAGGAGATAAACCCTATCTTATATCTGGAGCTGATGACAGACTGGTCAAGATTTGGGACTATCAGGTTTATTTGATATTGATTATATTGATATGCTTAATGCAGCAAGTCACTCCTGGCTGTTTATTTACTTCTGTTCTGTGTACCTCTCTCTCTTTAGAATAAGACATGTGTGCAGACGCTCGAGGGTCACGCTCAGAATGTGTCCTGTGTAAACTTCCACCCAGAGCTGCCAATCATCATCACTGGATCTGAGGATGGTGAGTTGTGGCACATCTTCATTATAATGTTATAGATCTTTTAATGATCACTTTTATAAAACTACATGGCCTCATTCCTGATGCAAATGTTACTCTTTTTGTTTTATTATTCAGGCACGGTTCGAATCTGGCATTCCAGCACTTATCGTCTAGAGAGCACCCTGAACTATGGTATGGAGCGGGTGTGGTGTGTGTGTGGCTTGCGCGGCTCCAACAGTGTGGCATTGGGCTATGACGAAGGCAGCATCATTATCAAGGTACTAAAAATAACACAAAAGTAATACCATGCTGTTTCCTGTCAGTAGTGTGACAAAGCTCTGGACTGCTAATTGGAAAGTTCAGTACCTGCAACAAGAGAGCCATACTGTTGCGCCAGGGCTGTCAGCAAGAGAGTGGAGGATAGATAATGTTACAAATGATTTCTATTTCAAATAAATGCTGTTCTTTTGATCTTTCTATTCAAAGAATCCTGAAAAAGTATCACGGTTTCCAGAAAAATATTAAGTAGTTTTCTGCTTGTGAACAGTAGTGTATATAGATAAATTTACATGACATTTCTCTGTACTTAAATGAACATTAACTAATTATGTGAAGAGCTTTATAATGTCATATCTCATGTGGAGAGTTCTCTATTAGTTAACCGCTTTATATTTCGGTTTTAGCTTGGTCGTGAGGAGCCAGCCATGTCAATGGATACCAGTGGAAAAATCATTTGGGCCAAGCACTCTGAGATTCAGCAGGCTAACCTCAAAGCAATGGGAGATGCTGAGATCAAAGATGGCGAGAGGCTGCCACTGGCGGTGAAAGACATGGGCAGCTGTGAGATCTATCCACAAACCCTCCAGCACAATCCTAATGGAAGGTAAGAGCATTACATCTGTTTTTTTTTAACGCTGCTCATTTACATGTCTCCTAGTCCTTGCTCCTATTTATTAAAGTAAATATAATTTTACAGTTGTTATATAATTAACATTTCTCAACATCCAGAGGTTCAGTACTCTTAATCTTGTGTTTAGGTTTGTGGTGGTGTGCGGAGATGGAGAGTACATAATCTACACTGCCATGGCTCTAAGAAATAAGAGCTTTGGATCTGCACAGGAGTTTGTCTGGGCCCATGATTCATCTGAGTATGTACTCTATAAGCATATAGAATATGGATGTAGAAGATAACTGTCAAAAACACTTAATACTGATGTTACTTGTTTTAAATTAGGTACGCAATTCGGGAAAGCAGCAGTGTGGTGAAGATCTTCAAAAATTTTAAGGAGAAAAAATCTTTTAAACCAGACTTTGGAGCAGAAGGTAAACTGTTTTGCACTTACATCAGGGGCAGTAGTAATCTCTCTATTCACAATTTTGTACGCAAATGTAGTAAGCACAAAAAATATGCATAAACACAGTATACTGCATACTCAGTTCCTTTCATTACATTTCATGCTGAATGTGGTAAAACGGGTATTATTTTATGTATATGAATGGTTATGTGTTTGCAGGCATCTATGGTGGTTTCTTGCTGGGTGTCCGATCAGTGAATGGCTTGGCTTTCTATGACTGGGATAACACAGAGCTGATTCGCCGCATTGAGATCCAACCCAAACATGTGAGTCAACTGCTCCAGTCCTTCATTATTTTGTCTGCATGATTGAGCCATTTTTTAGTGTATCTGGACCAATTGCACATTGCATCTATTTTCAGATTTTCTGGTCCGACTCTGGTGAGCTGGTGTGCATTGCCACAGAGGAGTCTTTTTTCATCCTGCGCTATCTGTCAGAGAAGGTGGCCGCATCACAGGAGTCAAATGAGGGGGTTACTGAAGATGGTGTCGAAGATGCTTTTGAGGTAGGTGTACATCAGTGTTCATGTTTAACCAGATGAAAAGAGTTATTTCAGAGGAAGAGCAAGTTGTTACATTTTAATAGAATAATAAAAAAAAGTGGAATTCCCTTGCCTTTTCTATTTGTTTGTTCTTTACAATACAACCAGGACTTATATTAAGATGGTAAATAGAGTCCATTTTGATTTAATATTGACTTCAAAGATTTGAAACAAATGGTCTGAGCTCCTGATGGTCTGTGTTTGTGTGTGCAGGTCCAGGGAGAGATTCAGGAAGTGGTAAAGACTGGTCTGTGGGTGGGAGACTGTTTCATTTACACCAGCTCAGTCAACAGACTCAACTACTTTGTTGGAGGAGAGATTGTCACTATTGCTCACCTGGACAGGTGCAGTCAAAGTTCCCTGTATCTGAAATATGTTTTTAGCATTTTATGTTTTGGGATGTATTAGTCACACTCACTACCATTACAAAGTTTCAAGATTTTCTTTTAATGTTTTTGAGTCTCTTACGATCAAAATACAGTAAAATCAAAGTACAGAAAAATTGTAATATTGTGAAATATTACAGTTTAAAATAAACTGTACTTTACATTTTAAAATATATTAAAATAATTTATTCCTGTGATGGCAAAGCTGATTTTTCAGTAGCCATTAGTCTTCAGTGTCACGATCCTTCAGAAATCATTCTAATATGCTGGTTTGCTGCTTAAGAAACATCTTTTATTGTCAAGGTTGTAAAACAGCTGTGCTGCCTAATATGTTTGTGGATATTTTTGATGAATAGAACATTCAAAGAGTAGTATTTATTAGATATATAAATCTTTTTCTAATATTATACATTTCTTTACTGTCACTTTATCAATTTAATGCACCCTTGCTTGCATAATTAATTTAAAAAAAGTCTTACTGACCCTAAACCTTTGAACGCTAGCATAAATATACACAGAAGACATGTATTTATTATTCAGTTAGTCTAACAGTGATGTATTTTCCTTAGAACCATGTATCTTCTGGGATACATTCCTAAAGATGACCGTCTTTACCTGGGTGATAAGGAGCTGAACATAGTGAGCTACTCTCTTCTGGTGTCTGTCCTGGAGTACCAGACGGCCGTCATGCGCAGAGACTTTGGCATGGCAGACAAAGTGCTGCCCACTATCCCTAAAGAACAGAGGACCAGAGTTGCCCACTTCCTGGAAAAACAGGTAAGACTTTAAATGTTTGCCTGTAAGCTATGCTTTGCATAATATAAGGTATATAATTATAATGTTACGTAAATAAAATAATATTTATAATGTTCTTGCTCTGCTAGATTAACAGCAGCTAAGACTGACCCATATGTTTTGGCAATATTTTTCTTGATCGAAAGTGTTAAAAAATATGCATGGTGATGAAGTACAAGTTTAAGTACTTTAAAGTACTTTTGAAGATCAATATATACAATTGTGTGTCAGGAAAACCTTGTATAGATTTGATTGGCTGCCAAATGTGTAGAAAACCAAAATGATATTCTGCATATATTCTGTGATATCTAAAGAATCTTTGTCTGTGTCCCTGCAGGGTTTCAAGCAGCAGGCTCTGGCCGTGTCCACTGATCCAGAGCACCGGTTCGAGCTGGCGCTACAGTTAGGAGAGCTGAAAATTGCTTATCAGCTAGCAGTAGAAGCTGAGGTTTGTTATTGTACACCAACCAGTGGTACCGCCGCCTAGTGGTGGCCAAGCTCAAATACTTTATTTATTTTTACATTTATTGAAGTGGGGAAAAAAAAACTTTTGTAAAAGTAATGTACAGTATTCTGCATGTAAGCTAATTTGATGAAGGTGTCTAATGTTACTGCTTTTCTTCTGTAGTCAGAGCAGAAGTGGAAGCAGTTGGCAGAGTTGGCCATCACTAAGTGCCAGTTTGGTTTGGCTCAGGAGTGCCTCCATCATGCGCAGGACTATGGAGGACTACTGCTGCTGGCCACTGCATCTGGCAACGCCGCTATGGTTGCCAAGCTTGCAGAGGGGGCAGAGCGTGACGGCAAAAACAATGTTGCCTTCATGACCTACTTCCTGCAGGGAAAGTAAGTATCATAGGAGAAAAGACCTTCGTCAGCTGAAATACAAATAGAAATATGTTGACTACAGATGTTTTACTTTAGTGGATTTTCATTTTTTCAGAGTCTACTATTAATTCCTACACTGCAGGGGGAAGTCATGTTTCAGTCACAGATTGTTCTTTTTAAATATAGTTGTGCTTTATTAGTTGATTTTGTATTGTTTGTTTGTCTTGCCAGACTGGACAACTGTTTGGAGCTTCTGATCAAGACAAATCGTCTACCAGAAGCAGCCTTTCTTGCCCGCACATATCTGCCCAGCCAAGTATCCAGGTCTGTGTTCATTGCCACAGCAAGGAAACAACTTGCAGTAAAGTGAAGGATTATTTTGGAAGGGCATAGAACATACTACTAGAAGAAATAGTATGAATAGAAAATAGTATGTACAATATACTAATTTTCTGTTCAGCTTACAATCAGAACAGACTGTAAGATTCAGTATCCCACAACGGTATGCACTTGACTTGATCTTCAGTTTCCAGTGTGACAAACCTAAAATGAGTCTCTTTTTGACTCTTGTTTGATCAAACTCATAAAAATTAAAGGGGTCATATGATGCGATTTCAAGTTTTCCTTTCTCTTTGGAGTGTTACAAGCTGATTGTGCATAGATAAGATCCCTGAAGTTGCAAAGACTAAAGTCTCAAAATCAAAGAGATATTCTTTATCAAAATGAAGACTCTGCCACACCCCCCTAAAACGGCTTTGAACATTAAAGCATGTCAACATATTCTGTTACACCAAATACACAAAATAATGATCTTTAAAAAAGCATCATATGACCCCTTTAAGACAATTTGGCACTAAATTTAAATAAAATTAATTAATCATTGATTTTTATTTTTTTTTTCCAGAGTGAAATGTTGCCTTTACATTTCTGTAACTGTGTGTTTGTTAACAGGGTGGTGAAGCTTTGGAGAGAGAGCTTGTCAAAAGTGAATCAGAAAGCTGCAGAGTCTCTGGCAGACCCCACTGAGTATGAAAACTTATTCCCAGGCCTGAGAGAGGCCTTTGTGGCAGAGCAGTACCTGAGAGAGACCTGCCTCGGCAAAACCAGACCTGCCACTGACTACCCACTGGTCACGGTAAGAAAACAGCTCTTTGATTTTTTTTTTTTCCTCTTTTCATTTTCACTCAGTGGTATTTTACTATTGCTTATATACTATTGTTATTAAAGGGGTCATATGATGCTATTTTAAAGATCATTATTTGGTGTATTTGGTGTAACAGAATATGTTGACATGCTTCTAACGCCCCTTACCATAATCGGAAGCATCAGCTTTCAAAGTAAATGTCAAGACAGTTAATAATGTCGTTAGTTTTACCATCAGTTCAAGCCCGAAAGGGCAACAGAGTCGCGTGACAGACACAGTGATGATGCA